TTCTGATTGGTGACCGTTAATATCCTACACTGCTTCAAGTCTTACAGCATTCTCCGCGACGGAGGGATTGTTCATGAAAATTGTCAGCGAGACCTCAACATCTTGTTTCTCATATAATGTTGCATCCATCAGAGATCCCTTTGTCCAGTAGTAGGTGCCTAAAATTGGGCCTGTTCTACCGGTGAGGGAGGGTTGCTTTTTCATTGGTCTTCTTAGAAAGGTCTATGGAAGTGGAAAATTACTAGGCCATAGTCAAAGAAAAGAATCAGCTGCACCGAAACCTTTGATTAGTATCACCGCCAAAAAGAGACTAAAAGAAACGTTCTATTAAATCATTCAACTTTTTCTAAAAACAAGAATTGGACCAAAACCTCGGGCATTGTTTGAATGAATGACTTTTTTATTCATTATAGCGTTATTTTAGTACTCTATCGTATAATTTATTCTGGTCTCTCGTGCCCAGGTTGTGAGGCTTGCATTTCGGCAAACGATTGTTTTATATCGCTTAGGGAACATCGACGCAACAACTATGTCGAGTTAGAGCGAGAAACAACGAGGGGAGGGAGAGAGAGAGAGAGAGAGATGCACGTATATTGTGGAAGGTTACGTCAGTTTAAAGCTCGTTCTCTCCTGTCCTCTTTGAGCCGCAAATGGGTCTTTGCTCCCTTTCGTTGGTCATAAAAAGAGACGACAGTTGTCGTAGGATTACAATAACCTGATTCGAAAGGCCATTTTCGTTCCCGTCTCCCTTTCAGTCAGGTATCCTCTCCCGCCTTAGTGATTCCCTTCTCGTTAATATCTCACCATTTTGTCATTCACTTGCTTAGACACGTTCTTTGGAAGTCAATAGATTTAACGTTTCCACTTGCAGATGATTAAATGAGTCGCGAGTGAACAGATCTTGGGGATTGTGCCGGAAGGTAGAATGATGACGACGTCACATGCTTCCACCACGGGCTTAAGGTGCCTAAGATCTCATTAATATCTAATCAATAAATTTGATTTAAATCATACATCGTAGTGTACTCCTCGACATAAGCTATATATATTTTTTCAGGAAAAATAATGGTAAATATACAAATATATGTGGATGTCGATGCTCGGTGATCCCCTCGGATCTTCTACTCTTGGCCGGAGCCTGTTCAGAATAACTCGGAAAAGAAAATCTTCGCATGGTTCCCACTAATGAGATGTTAACCTTGAAAGAGTCGACTGCCAGCTTTTCCTGTCACGTTTCTCTTCTGCCAGAAGCCTCGTGACGGACTCTCCCTCTCTTCTATCTCTGGATCTATTTAGCTTACGCGGATATCAGTCGCCCGGTCAAGGCTCTTGAAACGGGATCAGGGCTTGTAAAAGAAATCCATCTATTTAGCTTACGCGGATATTAGTCGCCCGGTCAAGGCTCTCGAAACGGGATCAGGGCTTGTAAATGAAATCCAGGCTGTGTTGGATTGACAAGGTCCAGGCCTTTCTAGATCATTGATACCGCTCGAAGCACAATTAGGGTCGGTAACCAGGAAGGATCGGGGCAAGGATTTTGCACTGCCCGAGATGAGTCTCAAGAATTGAATAGGCTAGATACCCAGCATACTTCAAAGCTATCGTCAGTTTGTTACCAACAATCTTTATTATGTCAGTGTGCTTCTCGAAGAACACGGCTTAAACGGTTGGCCGTTATCCATAGATACAGCGAGAGGAGGTGACTTAGCTTCTAGGTAACATATTTCCTCCACCTCTGATTAGGTTAAGAAAAATTTAGATTCTCAAATGTTTTCTATACTTATGGGTAATATGTTTATTTGATCCTTACGATAAACATTTCATGCTTGGGTCACCCCTGACGTATACGTTATAGGGTACGAATGTCAGAAGATTCTTATTGCTCGACATCACTAGATACAGCTATCAGTATGTGTGGTTTATCCAACAAAGATAAATTTGAGAATGGTCTGCCTTTTGACACTATAAATGACCTGAACCTATAATATAACATTTGTGTTGTATTTTTTTTAATTTACAAAGTCTTTTGTCTGGAGTAAATTTGAAATCTTGCTCATTTCCCAAGGTATGTAGAAATGTTGATGTAATGGCGAAAGTATGCTTAGGAAACTTCATCACATAACAATCTATATCTTTGAAAACATAGAAATTTTAGAAGGAAAAGGTGTAATGGAGATGTTGCAATTGTATAGTATGACTACTTTATTATGCAATATCAAAAAAATAATAATAATGTCCCCACTATAATAAGAAAAGAAACAAGTGCTAACTGAATTACAATGACACATGATTTGACTGATGCACGCTTGCTATTGGTTTAATCATGTAATCAGTCGACATAAGTAGGACTACCGTAATCTGATTCAATGTCACACAATAAAAAAACATGAAAAATAATGTTTTTCAGATTATTGCGGCTGAAGGTAATACTGAAGAAATTAAAATTACCTTAGAGGATCAAATTAAAATTAACCTGCTTAACTAGTTCGTGAAATTATGAAAAGTCTAGTTTCTTAAAAAGTTCAGTTTCTTCGTTATGTACAAATGAAAGTCACATCTTGAACAAACTAGATATGCATTATATCTGATGATAATTCATCGCCCTTTATCTTTTCGTAAAACTACATTATTTTTAGTTAAAATATTGTTGAATTTATATATGCTCTCAATTATGACCGCAAAGTGGAAGAAAAACCTGATTAAAAAACGTTTAGAGATTCCTATCAGTAACATTGCATGTTAGGAGGTAAGCGGCATAAGGTCTCAAGAGGTCCGTAACCGACACACCATGTGCCATTCGGAATACCATGTGCGTTTCTCTCTAAATGAAGACGGAAAACGACGACCAGTTGGACCTCCGGTGGCTGATGTAGGCCATGGCGTCTGAGTCATCTGGAACCTCTGCCAGTTCACGCCGCCGTCTCATAAAAAAGTATCCACGTTTGATGCGGCAGGACGATCTACCCGTAATACTGATGTAGTCGGCGTCATCCCCTTCCTCAGCGAGCAGTGGAAGGAAGGAGTTGATGACAGTGATGATTCAGGCGCACATCACTCTCTCTCTCTCTCTCTCTCTCTCTCTCTCTCTCGTCTTCCCGTTTCAGCTACAATCCTAATGGAAAAGTTATAGTTCTTATCGCCTGGTTTGTTTCGCGCATGGGGCCAGCTACGGTAATTCTCATCATAATCATTAATGGTTCAGCTGTAAAGAATGAGTTCATCCGCGTTGAGCCCAACCTAATTAATTTGGAGAGTCCGCGTTGCGTCCTTCTCGTGATTCTGTGATTCTTGCATCCTATAATAATATTATTTACTGTAATTTCGAAATTCTTGCTCCTAAAGAGATTTCTAAAAATATTGTCAACTACACATCATTGTATGGTCTCATGTTCTTGATTGTGCTTCTATAGATGGGCTAGGAGTCCGATTTTGGGCAGATAATCTCATTCGCTGACATGGACAAATTGCGTACAACAATGAGATGTCAACCTTTCACAAGGTGGCCGATATCTTAGATGTTTCGGAATGATAATACAAGGGAGAAGATTAGCCATGTGTTGAAGATGATATGTCAGGCTTCCAAAAAGTGATTTATAGATGAATCATCTATACACAAATTTATAGAGGATCTGTGCTTGAATATATACGGAAAAGGATATTGAACGTGCGAAGAAGGATTTTAGTACTTCATGAGTGCGGTTCACTCTTATGAGACCTTCGACAGTGTTTTGCTTTTGAAGAATCCTACGCCGGATAAAGCTGTCTGTATACTTCGTTCCAAGGCCACTCCGTCGCCAAGCCATGGGGATTTAGAATCTCTGGTAAGCACTAATTTTTGAGATTAAGAAAGGCACGAAAGTTGGTAAGGGTGGAGAACAGCGGCGACGACTCCGTCAACCTCATAGGCCCGAGCCACCGTGTCCCGCGGGGGCTCCACTTGCGGCACACTGTTACCATGCTCATCCGATTCGTTCGCATGAACAGAGCAGTTCATTAAATGTACCAGTCAATGCGCCAATTTAAATATCTTGATATCTTTAAAGCGTCGGCGGTCGGTCTATGCAGCCGTCCATGATTGAAAATGCCGTCATCTCCGTCTAATGATTCATCACCCACCAGATGGCATAGCCTCTCTCGTCGTCGTCTACGGCAGAGCCTGGAAAGACGAGTCCATGCGCAGAGGCACCGCCGCGGTGGTGATAGCCGGATATGGAGATCCCAGTCCACCAAGGCGGCGGCAGTAAAGCGCGAGGGCCCCGTGGGACCTCGAAGACGGCGGGGAGCCCCAGTAGCCGGCATTTACGTCTTTGAGAGCCGTTAATGGGCGGTCTGTGAAGGCTTTCAGTGGGGTGAAACATGGGATCCGATCGAGAATTCCGGTGGGGTGAAACATGGGATCCGATCGGGAATTCCCGTGGGGTGAAACATGTGAACGCTTCCCGGTAGGGATAGAGATGTTTCCTTTATATGTTTTAGTGCTTATCGGAGAGCCATATTAATAAAGTTGGTCACTTTAAGAGTGTGCTTTGTGGGATATAATTTTAGGTGTTTTTGATATAAAGTTCTAAACTTTAGGATCTAATACAAAAGTTAGTGCTATGCTACCCGATCTCAAAGAGATCTGAGTTTCTTTCATCTCGTATTGAACCTGCACAACCTAACTATTAGATGGAGAGAGAAAGATAGATAAATGTGTTGGGGTGTGTGGGTTTAGGTGAGAGAGAGAGAGAGAGAGAGAGAGAGAGAGAGAGAGAGAGAGTCATCAACAAAGAAGGCATCATATATGTACAGCACAAGGCAGACCTCAACATCTGAAACCGAGGTAAAATCGTTCTACCTCTGTAACTCTCCGAAAACTCCACCTCTGAGTCTATCATTCGGTAGAACCGGAAAGAGCCTAGAGGCTTACCCGAGAAAGAATGATAGGAAAACTGAAGATAATGGGGTTCCATCACCCATCTTCCCTATCCGAAGAACATCGAAGGGAGCTGCTTCTACATCTACTCCGCCATCTCAGGGATGCTCTGAAGAGCGGGTCGCCAGTGTCGGGCGCGGTCGTTGAAGTCCTCAATGTCGACGGCTGCGGCGTCGGTCATTAGGCGGGCAAGAACCTCGTGAAGGGGCAACCCCTGGCCGTTAACTTCAGCTAGAATCTTCTCTAGTTGCTTCTTGTTGATCTTAATCTTCACCTCCGTATTCTGCTGCAGAGTTTCCCCCTTCTCTAGAAATGTATCGTGCTCCTCCGGTCTTCCGCTCTCCACCGCCGCCTTGTCGGATGGCCGCCGCCGGCAATCGCCGGCATCCGCCCACGCCCAGTCCTCGTCATCGTTTACCCATGTAGCGGCCGATTGACGCTTGAAACAGTTCCCCATGTAATCGTCAAAGCTAGAAGCGTTGTGTTTCTGTATGTTCCTGTTCAATCTCTTTTAGAGAATGAAGAAGATCAAGATGATGAGAGGCGAAGATAGAAGGGCTGCGCTGTTCAGGAGATGGGTACCGTCCAGGAGCAGAGAGGAAGAGAGGGAGAGATGGAAAGATAAAGAAGGGGGGGAAGAGAGAGAGAGAGAGAGAGAGAGAGAGAGAGAGAGAGAGAGAGAGAGAGAGAGAGAGAGAGAGAGAGAGAATAGGAATCCCCGCTGAGGAGGGCCTGTCGGTATTTATAAAGAGAATAGAGGGAGGAGAAGAGAGATGATTTGTCAGGATTGACGTCGTCCCCCTCGCCATCTTTCCCGGTTTTTTAATGTTGTGGACCGAGTCCACCTAGCCGTGTCTGGCGTCTCTCTGCTGTCCCCTAGAGAGAGAGGAAGGGGAGAAAGAGAAGAAGGGACCACAAGAGTCAGTTTATTGGTGGGAGTTAAAACAGCGAAAGAACCGTGTGAACGGGGGCTTGAGAAGGAATCTTTCTCTCCCCCCGGTGCCTCTCTTGGACTGGAAAATTTAGTTGCATATACGTACGTCTGTAGCGCCCCCCCACCATTTTTGTCACCCAAACTTTCGTCCACATAGATGAACATAATAATTATTAAAATAAACTGATGTCTTGAAATTCATGTTCGGAAATGTAAATGAATTAGATAAATGTTGGGACGGGAGGTGTCATACTGAGATATTAATACGCGGAAGATCCTCAAAAATACGAATGACAGCCCTTAGTGCAATCGGTAGCTTAAGCTAGAGGCAACGCCGAGAGGGTTGGCCCGTGAGAACGGGGGCCAGGGAAGGAATCTCCAAGCGGGCAAAGGAGCATGTGCTGCCTCCAGAACGGACTTGCCCAGCTACTTACCCGCTTCATCAGACTCGAACCGTGATGACAGCAGAAAATAATACGCAAGGTAATACTTGGGAAGTATAAAAACTCAGGAGGGAAAGGACGGGGAAGTATGGAGACGTGGAGTAATTTTTCTTTCTCGGACTCGGTTCGTAATTTACACCATGATATACTATTTGATTCTAATGCTCATACTAAATCCTTCTGATGGCCATGGGTTTATAAATGTTTCTCTCAATCATGTTGAATCTCCTTTATTAGGAAATAAGTTAACATATTAAAATTGAGAATGGTGGACTTTGAGAGTAATTTTCAGTAGGCAGCGGACTAATACTAAATGCCTTTCTAGATCAGGACATTACCCTGACCTAAATTAGTACGTAAACCTTAGAATCCGGGTTAATGGAGGTTTCGATGGAACAAAATAGTAGAAAATTCCATGATTACACGAAATTTCAGCCTGAAGCGTAGTGACGTGTTGGGTCATAAATGAGGTCCGCTCGGGTTCTGCTAAAAGCAGGCTCTTTTTTCAATTGATATGAAGAGTTCCAGTAAGACAAGTAACCCGTCTCTCGAGTAGTTGTTGATTATCTGTACAAAATAAATTCCAACCGAGAAGAACGTCGGTCAGTGGTTCTCTGTTTACGCTGGGAAGTCGTTCGACCCATTAATGGTGATTACAGAATCACGCTATGAAGGCCCAGTGGGGATCCCGCAGCCGACGGTGGGACTTGGTCATTAGGAGAATTGAAGCTGACAGCTTAATGTCCCAATCAGCAACGAATAATGCGGCATGAAATAACAGCTGAGAACCCATCAGTCAACAGTTTAACTAGCTGCTACCTTGTCATTCCACGTAAGTTCCAGTTCACTGCTGACACTGAAGGTTAGGAAGGGGGAGGGGGGGGGTAAAGGAGAGAGAAAGTCTACGTGTGAATGCGTGGGTCTGTAATCTATCTCACTCTGCTTGGAGTCTTCCTGGGTTTGACGTATTCTCCCCCTATGCGTAATTCCAGTCTCCTGGTCGCCGCTCCGGAAGCCATATTTTTTTGTGTTGAAGGCTGATCAGTCCATCGCGGCTTGCGCGGAAATCGCAGCCCAAGTGATAGGGCCCTTATCAACCAGACGGAGTACTAATACCAAAGCTCATGTAGAATGAACACTGCATGGAGTTGCCTTCATGGCCATTCCCTTTGATTTTTGTCAGTCAAAATTCGGAAGAGAGAGATGCTCTTGTGACCCAGAGAGGAGATGCTTACAAGAGAAAAGAGGCGGGATGAAAGCGGAAAGAGAGAAGAGAAGAGGTCTCTCTCTCCAATTGTCGTTTGAGTCAAGCTTGCCTGTCATAAAATAGCTTACAAATGCTAAGGAATCAGTCCTGGAGACGAGGGATTTAAGGACTAAAGCAGTCAGTTGAAGTGATTGAGTCTGTGAGGAAATTCCGAGGGCAAGAAGTCAAAGAGAAAATTGGATGCAATTGCAGGAGTGAGAAGCCTTCCAACGCATGCAGCCCTTAGTTTGTAACTAGCATCTCCTATTTTCGTTTGAGAGCATTACTTCCTACAATTTTAATCTTGTTAATCCCCCCGAACGTGCAGCGCTGAATCCCCCTAAGATTTTTTTTTCCACGTAAGTGTTGTGATGCTCGTGCGCGTATAACTAAGAGGCATCTCTCCCCAGAATGACCTATTTTCTGCACGACTGTAATGTCTCAATTACTATGAGGCGTTGATATATACAGGTTTTCTTGTTCCACGAAATATACCGCTTGATATCTGCAGTAGTCCATACGTTGCTCGGGTAACGTACGCCACTCGCCGTAGCCATATTGTACTCACGTTGCGAGCCCGGTCCATCTTGGCTGCTACCGCGATTAACAGCGGTCAGGGTCTCCATCGGCCAATTAATTGCACGTGGGACTTTGGGAGACATGACCGGGCTTCGAATGGGAAGAATTCCTTCGCCGCCCCTTATTGAAACGAAAGCCTCGTAGAATAATAAACACTAAATGTACGACTCTCCATGAGTCGGGTATGGGTCAAGTACAATTCAGGGAAACCATGATCGAAGACGGTGGCATCGTCTTTGCACGGTCAAGTAGAATTCGGATCGAGAGACGTTCCCGAAGTTTGATATGACTGAAGATGATGTGACCTCTTTCTGAGCCAAACCAGGTTGGTTAGCATCAGTCTTCACAACCCTAAATCTGGGAGGCTTCGAGAAATCTGTCGACACATCAGTAGATACCTATAAGCAGAAAGGGCATAGCGAATATTATTATCGACAAATGTGACATTATGTTGAATGAGGAGGTTCAGGAAGTCAGGTACGACACGAAGATTATCCGCTTCATTCCAAAATTCGCCCTCACATAATGAGAACTTTCCTGTGTATCACTTTTGCAACTTCGCGAGTTTCCTTTTTCCGAATTTTGAGTCAATGCATCATTTAAGTGAATCAACGGAAGCAATCCATGGAGGAGAATTTTATTTCTGCTGCATGCGTTGAGCATTTAACAAGGAACGAAATTGCCGAGTTCTCAGTAGAAGACTTTCTAGACGATAGACCGACCGGTATCATATTTTTATAGTCAACTTAAATATGAATGATTTAGGTGTCAAACAAGGAGAAGAGGACGGAGAAGGATACACCCGCGAAAACTGCAAGGAAATTGGAGGGCGTACAACATCATTGACGGTCGCCAAAGAGACAGGAAAACCATAATGACTTGCTTCACGAGGGCTGTCTCTGGAAACCGTGAAAATAAAAAAAATTAAACGCTCACTTACTCGGGTCAAGGTCGCCCCGATAAATTAGGACTGATTCAAACTTCATCTGCACTGTAACATGAGAACATAGGGAGACCGAGAGAGAGAGAGAGAGAGAGAGAGAGAGAGAGAGAGAGAGAGAGAGAGAGAGAGAGAGAGAGAGAGAGAGAGAGAGAGAGAGAGAGAGAAAGAAAGAGAGAGAGAGAGCGGGAGACAAAGAGAGAGAGAGAGCGGGAGACAAAGAGAGAGAGAGAGAGGGAGACAGAGAGAGAGAGAGAGAGAGAGAGAGAGAGAGAGAGAGAGAGAGAGAGAGAGAGAGAGAGAGAGAGAGAGAGAGAGAGAGAAAGAAAGAGAGAGAGAGAGCGGGAGACAAAGAGAGAGAGAGAGCGGGAGACAAAGAGAGAGAGAGAGAGGGAGACAGAGAGAGAGAGAGAGAGAGAGAGAGAGAGAGAGAGAAATGGTATTGTTATTTAATTTGATCATTCAAGTTCAGTCCGAGTAGATATTCAAAATCCACTTGATCATGTGAACAACACTTCCATGAAGAAATGGTAAGCCAAAGGGATGTCTATGGAAAGAAGACTGGTGAAGGAATAGCCGCGCAGGTGCGGACATCGACATGGCAGACTGATCTTACCGTTTACGATGGGTTGGAATGTCTGGCGAGGCAGTCTTGCATGGCGTGTGACTTGGGAAAGGCAGAGATGTCTGTCACGCTAAACCTTCTTTAGAAGAAAACGTTGGAGAAATCCATGCATTCAGTGATGATAGCGTATTAGTAGAATTGGGTCGGGTTGGAAAGGCTCAAGTAGTCACACATGATCTGTTATCTGGGGGAGGAAGAGATGATCAGGAATCTGACTGGAAAACTGGAGGAAAAATACACGCATCGAACCAATGCGGCGGCTTTCATTAGTTCAATTTATGTTGAAGGGCTGACAAGAAGGTGACATGATAGGAGGGGAGGGAGCAGAAATGGCCATGAAAACCACCTGGGACGGAAAAGTCAAGGTGACGTTTCCGGGAGAGAACGGTTGTGTGTCTCGTTGAAAGGACGGACAAAGTCTCTCAGGGCGCGCGACCATTGACGGAGATAATAAATCGAAAGAAAAATTTCGCGAAAATCCACGTGCGAGAAGGACGCGGGGGGTAAACTTGGATGAGGTGTGACGAAGGACCCAGCGGAAATCAACGTGTTAAGGCAGGGTGCTACGGCAGTTCTCACACGTGGCGGGGTCTTGGCAGAGCGCACGATCAGAATAAGCCTCACAAAAACACCTTATCCAATTGGCATGCGCGTCAGCTTGTGGACAACGTGAAGTCGACGGCGTCATCA